AACCACTGTGACTTTGGTTTATAGTATAGCAAAGGATGTATATCCAGTCAATCACAGCATAGCTAACATAGCATGGTTAAATGTGTGTTACGATGAGGCCCAAATTATCTCCTCTTATGAGTATTTTCTTCTTAGAAGAGAAGAGAATTGTGGGATTTGCAAGCAAAATTAATTTTTCATGTATAAAACTTAAATCTAATTTTGAAAATTTGGCACCTTTCCTAGTATTTAATTATAAATTTATCCTGACATACCTAACTCTCACTTCTTCGTGCTAAAGTGAGCTGAAACATGCCCCTCTTACGCAGTCATTATTCAAAACAAACCACATAGTATATTTTCTTTTTATCAGCATACATACATCTTAAAGTTTGTTCAATCATGTTTCTTCAGAAAACATTCTCTCAAGACACACACATTCATCTACTCCCTTGAGTTTTCACCATTTATGTATAACCTTTTCAATCCATTTCCTCTTACATTTACTGCACGTCCTTTGGATTCTCAGCTAATAAGCTAGTATAGAAAATAGACATTCACATTCTCAAGCCACACACCTCTACTGTCATTCCAAGCATTTATTTCACATTTATCCATAAATACATTAAACAAGGTGACACCAGCCATCTTTGTCACTCTAAAGTGCTGAACTATTTCTTGATCATCCCATTTATTCTCATGGATTCTTTATTTCTCCAGTGCTTACTGCCTTCAGCAAAAAAACAACAAGCTCAGCTCCAAATTTGTGGAAAGATTCCACAATTGAAGCTTATTTATTTACTTTACCATACATTTCTCTACCTCAGTAAATATACAATAAACTAGCTTTCTCACTTTATTTATTCCAATGATCTGCTGAAAATCACCAAATATCTCTCCAGACACACTTAATAAGTTAATCCGTATAGTTTTGCAATTATTCAAACTATCTCCCCTTTGTAGATGAATACTTCCATCAGCATTCTTTCAACTTTCAGACATAGTTGCAGACGTCATCTTAAACAATTTACGCAGCCAATTCCACATACATGTTTTAAGATTTCTCAAGTTCCACCATATGTGTTTGATGATAGTAATGCTAATTTCTTTGCCTTTTTTAAAAAAGAATTGTCCAGCTTGCTATAGCTACTGGTTCTTAATTTATACAGTTTTGTTTTGTTACAATTAGGATTTATTATTATCACTACTGTTACCTAGAATCACTTTTTGTTTTTGATTATTTCTTTTCACCAATGTTGGGGAGCATTCATTTGAATGCCAATCTTCAGCATTTAATTTTCAGTCTCATAGAGTTTCCTAAAATACTCTTTCTATGTTCTGTCTGTTTAATTTCATCACAAATACAATTTATTACTTTTAATAAAAATCATTTTTTCAATAGAATCCTTAAGCTTGTCATCTAAAGCCACATACAAAATTGTGCATATGGAAGATAGAAAGAGGCTCAGCCCATGCTTAGCCTGGTGATTATTTCTCATTCTTGAATGGCAGCTTACTCCAAAATAATCAAGGTGTAAGCTATATTCTAGCTTTTAACTAAATACTAACTCTCTGTAGAATGTCAGATTTCAAAGGAAAAAGAATGCATAGAGGACTTAAATGTAACTTCTGTATACTTTTTAAAGAAATTAGGAATTTTCTTGGGATTACAAAACTGTCCTCTGATTTACAAATCCCATAACCCCCCAAAGAGGATGGTAATGGCACCTCAGTAACAACTTAGTAAAGTCTTTTACTAGCACTGTCTTCAGTTGTCTTCACTCTTCATTTAGACATACCCTTTCTCTGGGAGGCCATACATAATTATGTCTGATTCTAATGTGTTTCAGTTAATTACTTTTAAAATTAAAAGTACCCGTGTTTTCCTGAAAATAAGACTGGCTCTTATTTTCTTTTGGGTTCCAAAATAAGCACTAGGGTTTTTTGAGGAGGGGGGTCTTATTTTTTCCCATTATGGGAGGCCCACTTCTTCTGTTTGCTCATGGTGGGGCAGGAGGCTGCATGATGTGCCAGTGCCACCGCTGCAAGGCAGGGGAGGTTGGAGCTGCCCCATGTGCCCTACAGCAGCTTACCTCAAGGCCTCCACAGCCAGACCATCCATGCCCAGACACCTGCCTCGTCTTGTGGCCATGGCACCAACACACCACTCAGCCTCCTGCTCCATTGTGGCTGCGAGCATTCTGCAGGTGTCAGGGCATGGATGGCCTGGCTGTGGGGGGCCTGAGGTAAGCTGGTGCAGGGTATATAGGGCAGCTCTACCATCCCACCTTGTGCCGTGGCACTGTGAGCAACCAGACGGAATGGGCAGGTGGCCAGCTACACAGGTTCTTAAGTAGGGCTTATTGGGGGGGTAGGGCTTATGTTAGGTGCACATATAAAACATGCTACAGCTTATTTTTGGATAGGTCTTATTTTCAGGGAAACTGTACTTTTAAAATTAAAGTGACAGATTTATCACGAACCTAGCAATTTCAGGATGCCTTAAAAAAAGAAGCTTGCTGGAACCCCATAGTGTAACATGACCTCTACATGACTATTCTGCCATAATTTAAAGGTAAGATTTCCCATACAATTAAAATAAATACATCTCTGTTGGGCCTTTGCAGGAAACAATTCCTCCAGGAATTTCTGCATACACCTGGAAGATTAAGTTGCATGGAAAATTCTCATTCGATATATATACATTCAGGCTGTAGCCTATGCATGTATTTTGATTATAGACATATTTTGATGCTATGGGAAGGACAACCTGAGTTTTCCATTTTAGCATTTTGTGCATTTGACCTAAAGAACAAATAGTCTAAATAACATTATGTTTACCTTCCAGGGGCAGATGATAAAAAATCACAAATCACATTCTCCTTTGAAAACAGTTGGCTTCTAATTTAAACTGCCATATATACTCATTTATAAGTACATTGCAGATAAGCCAACTGTCAAATCTCTAACCCTAGTAACTTGAAAATTGTACCACCTGGGAATAATCCAACTCACAAAAGTTTTGTAAGTTTTAATTTTCACAATTGGCTTATACGCGGGTGACATGGAATTGAATTAAAAATTCAGTGCTCTGCTTATCCATGAATGAGCTTATACATCAGTATAAAAGGAGTATATGAATACTATATATGGAGTATATGGGATGACTCACACCCTGGATGGCACTTTAGCCTCCTATCATCGGGAAGGATATGTGGAAGCATAGTCATCTGCAGAAACAGGCTGAAGAACAGTTTTTATCTGTGGGCTGTCAGAGTCCTGAATGTGAAATAACATCATAACTACGTAGTATGATGGGCTTGCAGGGCCGGCGCAACATATAACATGTTCACATTGGGGCAATAGGACTGGGAGTTTGTTAATATGATTTATTGGGTATGGGATTTTCTGTCTTCACTGTGAGTTGTATTGTGTTGGGGGTGAAGCACTGAGGGAGCTCAACCAATCTCCTTGTACAAATTGTGCGCATGTGCGAGACCGGAAGATGGCGCCCAGGCGTTCTGCTCCGTTTTGACGAGGCGAGCAAACGCTGAAAAAAGCCGAAAATTGAACAACTCCAAGCCTCGAGGAGGGTCCTGGGGATGTCCGGAATCCGGGGGACCCGACGAGCTCAGACCTTGGCGGGGGTCGCCGCTTCTGGGCGACCCCGGACTGGACAACTCCGGAGGTCTGTTCTGCCTGCTGGGAGCGGCCTGCGTTGTCCGGCGGTGGGGGGCGGCGGCGTTATGTCGGCGTCTCCCAGCGCCCTAGACGATTTCATCAGGTTTGAAAGGGAGAGAGAACCAGCTGAAGCAGCCCAGACCTTTGCGGGGGTCGCCGCCTCTGGGCGACCCCGGACTGCACAACTTTGGTGGTTTGTAAGCCGTGAGCTGCTTATATTTCTCGGTGGGGGAGGCGGCGCCACGTTTGCTGCAACGGTAGCGTTTTTCGGCGATCTAGGCGATTTCATCCTGCTTATTGAGCTGCCTCACTGGGGCTTTGTAAGATCATTATTGCTCCGGAGGGAGAGGGGACGAATTGAACTAATGTGGGGACTGAGCAGATTGGATGGGCGGTTTTTCCTGACGTTGCATCGGCCCCTACGGACGGCTCCCTTTACTATCCAGCCTCACTTCCCTTCCAGCATTGCCTCCTTCCTCCTTTGCCCCTGCTCGGTCAAGTGGCCCTCTGGACGCATTCTACTCTTTGCCCTCCCTTGTTGCGGTGAGGC